CACAAGGTATTCTGACTGCTGGTTAGGAACGATCACCCTAAAGCTTTACTTAAAAATGTCTTACCAGAGACCAAGATAAGAAATGAAAAAGTTTGAAGACATGATCCTTTGGCTTCATTTCACATTTCTAAAACAGGCTTTTACCTCAAATTCTGGTTACATAAAATGACAACACAAAATTCTAGTTTGGTAACTTTTCCAAAGATAGGAAAAATATGATTCTGTGCAGCAATGGGCTTAAGTGTGTCAAAGACTGTAAAGATGGCATGTGATAGAATCGTGTTCAGACGTGTTCAGATCAATTATACTGTCAAGTACTCAACCTGACAGCACCTAAGAACATTAAAATTTTATGTAAAAATTTAGCATAATTTGATCTATTCATATTTATGATACTTATCAACATGGCACTTATTTCAAAAAGGTATCTGTATATTTGTTGTTGTGTACCATGGAGTCACAACTGACTAATAACTGACTCTCCAGCAGGTTTTCAGAGTCAGTTAATCAATCACAAGGGAGGAAAATGTCTATCCTCCTGTGGAGCAGCTGGTGGATTCCAACTATGTGCCTTTGGGATGCAGTGTAGCTTCTACAAGTGTATTATTTTAAAATGTATAAATATTTGTATAAAATATTTTATGCCATTTATCTTACTTCTATGTTTAAAATTTCAACACAGTAATTTTTAATGTTAAATTTTCTAATAATTTGTAATCCAATATACATATTTTTAAAATGTATTTTAGAATTTTACGTTATCTAAGGAAGCTTTGGTGGCCTACTGGTAGGAATATGCACAGCAATCCCAAAGAGATCTATCTAGCCTGCATTTAACTCTACAAAGAGATCTAATCTAATAATATACTAGAAACAGACTTGAAACTCTAAGGGCAGCACAGGAAGAAAAAGTAAATTATTACAATGAAATGTACAAAGAGCTGGAGTAGAAAATCAAAAGGGCCGAAGCACTCACTAAGCATTTAAGCTAAAGGAACTGAAGAACAAATTAAAGCCTAGAGTTGCAATACTTAAGGATGCTTTGGACAGAATATTAAATGATCCAGGAAGCATAAAAGAAGATGGAAAGAGTATACAGAGTCACTGTATCAAAGGGAACTGGTCGACAGAGAAGAATTTCATGAAACAATGTATAAGCAAGAGTCTGTGGTGATAAAGGAAGAAGTTCAATCTGATCTGAAAGAATTAGAAAAAACAAGGCCGAAGGAATTGACAGCAGACCAACTGCCATATTTCAGCAAAGAGATGTTGTCCTAGATGAGCTCACCAAATTGTGCCAAGGAACATGGAGGACAACAACCTGAGTGGAAGAGATCCATATTTCTTCCCATTCCAAAGAAGGGGACCCAACAGAGTGCAGAAATTGAACAAACACCACATGCAAACAAGTTTCTGCTGAAAATTATCCAAAAGCGACTGAAGCAGCACATCAACAGCTAAATGCCAGATGTGGAGGCTGGGTTTAGAGAAGACCATGGTACTAAGGATATTATAGCTCATGTTAGATGAATCTTGGCTGAAAGCTGAGAGTACCAGAGCAATGTCTATCTGGTGACTATGCAAAGGCATTTGACTCTGTAGATCACAATAAACTCTGACTAACTCAGAATGGGAATCACAAAACACTTGATTGTGCTTATGCAAAACATAATTGGACCAGGAGACAGTAGTCAGAACAAAGCAAGGAAACATTGCATGGTTCAAAATCGGGAAGGGTGTACACCAGGTATGTGTACTATCTCCATACCTTTTCAATACATACGCAGAACAGATCATCTGGGAGGCTGTGCTCTAGGAGGAGGAATGTGGCATCAGAATTGGAAGCAGACTCATCAACAATCTGCATTATGCAGATGACACAACACTGCTTACTGAAACCGAAGAGAAACTGAAGTGCTTGCTGTGGAAAGTCAAGGACTGCAGCCTTCAATATGGACTGAAGTGCAACATCAAGAAACAAAGATTCACACCGCTGGGCCGATTGGCAGCATCATGACAGGAGAAGAGACGGAGATTGTTAACAGCTTCAGCTTGCTTGGTTCCACAATCAACACTCTTGTTATCAGCAGACAGAAATGAAAAGAGAAATTAAATTGTCAAAAGTCTACTGTCAGGGACCTCTCCAGAGTACTGAAGAGCAAAGACGTCAGTGTGGAGACTAAGGTGCACTTGATCCAGGCTATTGTCTTTACAATTACTTGCTCTGCAATAGAAAGCTGGACAATGACTAGGGATGATAGGAGAATTGATGCTTTTGAGCTATGGTGCTGGAAAAGAGTACTGAATATACCATGGACTGACTGCTAAGAGAACAAGCAGGTTTATCCTAGAGAGGGTGAAGCCAGGCTGCTCCTTGGAGGCAAAGATTCTGAAGCTTTATCTGACATACTTTGGGCATGCTGCAAGGAGGGTAGATCCTTGGAGAGGAACAGTGCAAGAGAGGAAGACCAGCAATGAGATGGATTGACTCAGAGACTGGGGTAATGGGGAGTAGGTGTGTCAGAGACTGTGGGGTTGGCACAAGATAGAGCAGCATTTAGGGCTGCTGTACACAGGGTCGCCATGAGTCGCAAGCAACTTGAGGGCATGTAACAACACAGCAAAAACATAATCACGCTACTCCAAAAGAATCTGTGAAATAGTGAAAATCTCTGAAAAAAGATTATCTAGACACTTTTGGTAAAATGTTTTCAAAGCAAAGTTTAAGAATAGCTATACCAAGTCTGTCAAGTGATATAAGTCCAGAAGAATACAAACAAGAGACATCCTCGTTAAAGGATTTTTTTTTTTCTGTTGAGTAAAGAACTAGCAACAATGAATGAATGGAATTCCAAAATCTCTGTAGATGTTCACTGAAATGAAAAATAAACAAACTAAAAAAAAAAAAAAAAAAAAGAACTAGAAGGGCTAAGGCAGACACTGCAGGTTTCATGCATTCATAGGTTGGCAGACTTCAATGTCTTTCTCCAAAATGGTTGGAGGGTTTCGACAGCTGACCTTTCAGTTCAGTGTCTTAATGCTTTATCTACTGCACCACCAGAACTCTTTTAATATAGGTACACAGCTCTTTCCCCAGCTAATTACACTACTGATGTGTATGTGACTGTTACCTCTAACTTAAAAATGTTAAAATCTAAACTTGCATACAATTCTTAAAAAAAAACACACCACCCCAATTCTAAAGTTCTAAATGCTACAAACAACAGGGACCAGTAAAGTGTTATGAAGTGAGAAGATTCCATGTTTGAAAATAATGTTTTAAAAATTAACAAAGATATTAACCTTGTCCTACCCACACAGAAAATGAAATAGAAAGCACGGGGTAGTAGGAAAATTTTAAAATAACAGTATCCTAGGGAGTTCTGGTGGCCTACTGATACAAAGCTATGCTGAAATCCCAAAGGCACAAGGTACGAACTAACCAGCTGCTCCGTGGGCAAAAGATGGGTAACTTTCTCCCATGCGATTAATGCCTTTGAAAACCCACTAGAAAGTCAACTTTTGATCTGTTCCGACTCGATGGTACACAACAGTATTCTATAAATCCAAAGTATTTTAAAGCAGTTTAACTATGCACAAGTTAAAAGAAACAATTTTTACTTTTCTGAAAATAATCTTTTTTAAAGTGCAAGAGTTTATCAAAGCACAATTCCACTACAGTGACTTGATGAAAAGTCATTAATCATTTTTCCAAGTATGACGAAGTATCAAAGTACCTAAGTATTTTTAATTTTAAAAAATGTTAACTTTAACCATTTCGTAGAGTCAAGTTCAAAATTAAACTGAGTATCTGGGGCACTCTTTCAAAATTAATCCAATCTTCCAATGCCACATTTTCTTAACTATTCACCGGAGGCATAAATAATATATGATCTAAAACAACACTGCTTACTTCCTAATTATATACTAGTGTGAAGAACAGGTGCAACCGTATTTAGATGCATACTTTTCCTTCTAAGCCTAATTTTAACTGCAAAGAGATTTTAAAATAAACCTTTACAAGTACCTAGAAAAGTGACATTACTTTCTAAAAAAGATGAGGCAGTTTTTAAATCCAAGGCACAAGCCTTTAAACAATACCTTCCAAAAGTTAGGTTAAGACATCCGAGCGCATCCTAAAGTTCACCTTAAGACAAACAAGCCTGGTTTAATTAGAAGGGCGTTTAAACTTTGCTTCCCCAAGTAACTTAATAATATGAGAAAAGTACGCTTTACTTCAAGATAAATCTTTCATAAATACAGAAGAGACAGTTGATTTTACTTTTAAAGGGGGCCAAAGAAAGAAAAGATAGGTTTAAAATCAGTTCTAGAAGAGTAAACGTTGATGAGTCACTAAGTAAGGAAGAACTGCAAAGGGTCCAAGTGAGTAAGGCAACGTCCCAGGTAACAAAGTCCTTAAAAGTTGACAGGTAGGAAGGGAAAACTTCCTAGGTAAGCCTCAAGCTATTGTGTTTGATAGGAAAGAAACAGCTGTCAAGGGACAAGTGTGTACCAAGTCCAGGAAGGGGGTCAGACAAGCCAAGTCGGAGAAAGGGGGTGTCAGGAAAAAAAGCAGCAAAGTCTCGTCCACATTCCGTTTCTCAAGTTCTACACCTCAAAGAGGGTCAAATGAGAGTAACCATAGTATCCAACAGGCTACCAAGGAACTCTCCACAGAGACAATCTCGGCCTCCAGCCCCGGAGGCCCGGAAAGGCCACCTCCGGAGGAGCCCCCGCAGACGCCATACTAAAAACCAAAATGGCTGCCCCAAGGAAGCCCGCAACGCGCAGCTAGTGAGGGCTGGGGAGCAAGCTTCTGCGGGTAAGGGGGAGGGGGATCAAAAACTGTCGCCAGTCCTGCAGCCCCCCGAGCCTCAAAGGTAGGTTCCTCTCGGTTCCCCGAAGTCGCGCGCGGCCTCGGGCGAAGGAATCCCAGCCCCACCCCCCCGGCCACAATCCCTCTGTTGCGGACGCCCCGCACAGGGTCCCCAACGAGGTACCTGCAGTTCGGCCCGCTCCACCTCCCAGTGCGCCCGCTCCATCTCGAACCGAGCCCACTCGTGCTGGATGTAGTGCAGTATCCCTGGGATAGTGTACTGCTGCGGCCGGGACAGCTCGGGGCCTGCCGCGGGGCCCACTCCCTCAGCGGCTGGAGGACCTCCGCCGCCCACCGCTCCATTCCCCCCCGGCGAAAGGTTCATGTTTCCCCCGGGTCCCTGCTGCTGCCGGGGAGGTGCCGCCATCCCCGGACCGCCACCACCGCCTCCAGCGAGCTCATCCATTGTGTGTGAGGCCCCGGCCGGGGCGCAGGGCGAAACGCCGACAGCTGGTGGAAGGGCTCGGAAGGGTAGCCCCGCTGGTGGCGGGGCGGAGGCTGGCCGGGATAGGGGCGGGGAGGGAATCGTTGCCGTGTGCTTGCCGTGGGTCAGAGCAAGGAGCTACCGGCTGCCGCCATTACAGTCCCTCCTCCATCTGCCCGTCTCAGTCACTCACTTTAGGGAAGGGGGGGCTATTGGGGGGCGTAGCGAGAGGAGGAAGAGAGGACAGGAGGGTTGGGCAGGGGAGAGACGTAGGGCCGTCAACCCCGCACTGCACACTGGGTAGAAAACCACGCTGCGCCGCACGCCAAATAGCCAAATAGAGTCCAGCCTCACCCTACGCAGGCGCACTGGGCTCATTGACGCCGCCTTGCCGTTAGGGGGCGGAGAAGGAAGGCACTTGGGACCCGCCCCTAGGCCGGCTCACAGCTCCGTTTCTGATAGTTGAGCATGGTGGTGGTCAGTCTGTTTTGGGGAGCTCATCCACATCTGTCTTTGAGATAATTTGTTTTGTTCTAGTAGTCAGCTCCCATCGTCGTACCCAACCCTAGCGTCCAGGCCGCGCGGCTTCCTTCGGGGCTCTGTTTTAGTCAGTCAGGTCGTTCTGGCCGACCATAGCCGGTCCCGGATTCCTGACGTTTCTGTTACATTCCTCGCGTGTTTCTGGCTGTACCAGGGGTTTGAGCCTCTTTCTCTCCTTGTCATTTGCTCTTTCTCTGGTTTCTTACCAGCAGTTAGTTCCTCGGGCTTTGAAGACATATCCTTTTGGCACATACCCCAGGTCCATAGGGACGTAGTGACTGCATTCCCAGTCTTCGTCTCAGTTCTGGAGTCTTTTTTTTTTTTTTTTTGCCCCATTTCTGTACGCCTGTCGCTTGTCGCAACTTGTTCCCGTTTGCTTTCCTTTCTGTTTCTCAATCTTTCATGGGCGTTATATTTGAAGGTGTTAAGAGGACAACAGGAACGAGGGGTTTTTTTCTTGAGAAGGGGAGACAAGTGCTTTAGATCTTGACGATAGTGGGTAGAAACTGAAACACTGGTTGCCGTAAATTCTCGCTATTTTGGTGTTAATAGAATATTTTTATTGACACGGAAAATAAAGGCATCATGAGTACAGTTTAAAATCCTCCATGAAAGTGAAAAAAATGTTTTCCCTAATAAAGGTCAGTTGAGTGAATATACTCATAAGAGGCAAAGTTTCTTTACTCAAGTGTACATTTCTATATGCTTAGTTTCCCAGGAAACATCCTAATTGACCAGTGAGTTTTTCGAAGTGTTTAGCTGATAGCCATTTGACTGAAAAACAGGATAAAAATAACATTTAACAGCTGCACTTAAGGAAAAGTGTCTCAGTAATTATAACTGTGCAGGAAAAATGCATCTGAAACTGGCTGCATTTTTAAAATTTTTTTTCCTTCTTCTCTACCACACAGGCCACTAAAATTTTCACTCTGGAATATACTCATCCACACAAGACTTAATCTCAAACATAAAGTACTACAGCTTATTTTGTCATGACTTTTTTACAGTTTAATGAAGACTTGGTCAGATTTGTTCCCCATGCTGCCATGTTTATTTAAAGGTTTAGATTGTATACTAGTAATTACAAACTCCTTTAATTACTCTTTAGTGTTATTAAAGTACTGTTTCTCCAATTTTTGTAACCGGCATAGAACTTGTTTATACAATTCATTTGCTTTTGGAGAACACCATTGTATATGACAAGAGATACCATGCAGCCTGATGACTTAAATACATACAGCTAACTGGTTTGAGGGTGTGGTTGATGTTAACTTTAAAGAAAGGGAACATACATACTTATATTTCCCATTGTTGTTATTATGTGCCATGGAGTCCCCTGCAAGTCAGAGACCCTATGTACAACAGCTCTGAACCCTGCTCTATCCTGAGTGAACCTCACCATCTCTGACACACCAACCCTCATTACTCTAGTCACTGAGTCAGTCCATCTCATCAAGGGTCTTCCCCTCCTGTGCTGTCCCTCCAACCTCTCGAGTATAATACATATCCCTCTCCAAGGACTGATTGCTCCTTGCAACATGCCCAAAATATATAAGACAGAGCTTCAGAATCCTTGCCTCCAAGAAGCAGCCTGGTTTCACCCTCCCAAAGATGACCCTGTTTGTTTTCTTTAACAGTCCCTGGTATATTCAATTCTCTTCTCCTGCACCACTGCTCAAAGGCATCAATTCTCCTTTCATCCCTAGTCATAGTCCAGCTTTTTAATGCATAGCGCATAATTGCAACATTTCCCATAGGTATCTCAAATTCAGGGCAGCAGTAGTTCAGTAGTAGAATTCTTGCCCTCTATACTGAGTTCAGAGAGCTCTTGTAAGAAGCTGCACTACAATCCCAAAGGCATGTGCTTTGAATCCACCAGAAAAAGATAGGCAGCCTCCTCCCTTGGGATTTACTGCTTCAGAAAGCCCACTGGAGGGTTAGTTGTGTTGATTTCCATTCAATAACAATGAGTTTTCTAATATAAATAGTTATTCCCTCATCTTATTCTTCCCCTACTTCTTTCATTTTTTACTACAGTTAATCTGGCTAATTCTTAGGTCTTTAGTGACTGAAACTGTCCTGGATATTAAAAGTAAAATACACGAAGAGTTTCTCTTCTGTTGGGATTTGTTGTTGTTGTTAGGAGAATATTTTATAGAGTACTAAGGAAGTACTTTACAATGGCAATGACTAAACTTTACATTACAGTGACTAAAAACACACTGCAGTGAACTCCAACAATCTTGTTCTTATAGGTAATGAGCACCCATGGCTGACGTTAAACCTGCAACTTACCTAACTGGAATTCACTCCCTAAGCTATGAGTAATTTCCTCTTTTCAGCCTCATCATTGAGACATCTATTTGTCCTTTCATCAGTCCTTATTCCTTCTCTTCCATAAGATAATCCCAGTTTCATCCTATAGCTAATAATTATCAAGAATATCTACTTAGCTGAAAACCTCAAGGAAATGCATAAATTTCTAGAAACCCACAACTTACCCAAATTGACACAGGGATAAGTGGACCACTTGAACAGACTTAACGCAAAAGAAGAAATTTAGCAGGTCATAAAAAGACTCCCTCCCATGAAAGGCCTGGCCCAGATTGCTTCATGATAATAACACTTCAGAGATAATCTATCACTAAAGCTATATGTTAAAAAATAAAAAAAGAAGGAACACCCCTAGAGTACCATTCTATGATGCAAGCATAAGAATAATACCAAAACCAGCCAAAGACATCACCAAAAAAACCCTACAGACTAGTATCACTTATGAACATGATGCAGAAATCCTTGGAGGGGGAAAAAAAAATCTCAGTACAAAATTTCTTTTTCAAGGCGATAGAAAAAGCAATTTCCAGTTTCATTTAGAAAAGGAGACCCAGGATTAGCAGAGATCTTCTAAAACAACAACACCAAAAAAAATCAAGTTGGAGGCATCTGACTTCCTGATCTTAAAACCCACTATACAGCTGTAGTACATAGTCTTTGCAATTACTTGCTATGTGTTAGAAAGCTGGAAAATGACTAGGTTGATAGAAGGAGAATTGATGCCTTTGAGCCATCGTGCTGGAGAAGAGTATTATATATACCATGCACTGCTAGAAGAACAAACAGGTTCATCTTAGAGAGGATGAGACCAGGCTGTTCCTTAGTGACAAGGATTCTGAAGCTTCATCTGACATACTTTGGACATGTTACAAGGAGGGCCCAGTCTTTGGAGAGGGTCATCATGCCTGGGACGATAGAAGGACAGCGCAAGAGAGGTAGACCCTTGATAAGATGGATTGATTCAGTGACTGGGGTAATGGGGGTAGGTGTGTCAGAGACAATAAGATTGGCACTGGATAGAGCAGGATTTAGGGCTGTTGTATATAGGGTTGCTATAAGTTGCAGATGACTCAACAGCACATAACAACAACAGCTATAATAATCAAACCAGTATGATATTGGTACATTGACAGACATATAGATCAATGGAATAGAATCAAGAATACAGAAATCAACCTGTGGTCACCTGATATTTGACAAGATAAAACCCATTAAATGGGAAACACTGGCCTCTTTAACAAATGTTGCTGGCAAAACTGAACATCTGCCTGGAGAAAACGGAAATAGGATCCACATTTTATAACATACACAAAAACCAACTCAAAATGGATGAGAAACCTAGGCATAAAACCCAAAATCATAAAGATCATAAGAGACAAAAGGGGAATAAAATTAGAAGCCCTGGCCTACAACATAAAGAGGTTTGTGAACATAGCCAAAAATGCACAACCAGGAGAAGATAAGAACTTCTTAAAAGCAAATCCCTGTGTGCATCAAAAACTTTATGCTATAAAGTAAAAAGAAAGCCCATATATCTGGAAAAACATTAGGCAATGACATTTCAGATAAGAATCTTATAATCAAAGTTTACAGAATACTACAGGACCTCCACAAAAAAAAGATTGATAACTAAGTCACAAAATGGGCAAAAGACATGAAAAAACTTTTCACAAAGGAGGACATTCAGGTGACCAAGAGACACAAATAACAATGAGATACCACCTCACTTCAGCAGCAGTAGCAAAGTTCAACAAAATAGCAAATAGTAAATGGCAGAGAGAATGGAACTCTTATAAACTGCTGGTGGGATTTTAAAATGGTGTAACCACAATGGAAAGTGGTTTGGCATTTCCTCAAAAAGTTAAACATAGAAATTCCATGTTGTTGTTGCTATGTGCCATCGAGTAGACTACGACTCATAGTGGACCCTTAGAACAACAGCTCTGAACCCGGCCTTATCCTGAGCCAGTCTCACTGTTGCTGACACACTTGCCCTCAATGCCACAGTCACTGTGTCAATTCTTATCTCCAGAACCTTCCTCTCCTGCACTGACCCTCCATCCTTTCAAGAATACTATGCTTCTCCAAGGACTGGGCCCTCCAGATAA